CTGGGGCAGCTGCTCCAGGTAGAGGAACAGCCAGTGCAAAGGCCTGAGGCAGGGCTTGGCCGTGAGTTCAGGGAGCACCGTTATTGTTGTTGTTAATGTTGTTGTTGCCACCCGTTTCTGTCGAGATGAAGAAACAGAGACCTGGGACTGGGGGAGACGGCACCCCTCAGCTGCCCAGGCTTGTCCGCTGCACCCTGAGCCACGTTCCCTCACTGCCTCTGACCCCTCTCTGCTTTCCCCACAGGCTGACCCCGCACTTCATCTACCCGCCAGCCATCCTGCAGCCCAGCGTGGTGGTCCCCGCCGCCCCTGTCCCCTCACTGTCCTCGCCCTACATCGAATACACGCCAGCCAGCCCTGCCTACGCCCAGTACCCGCCAGCTGCCTACGACCAGTACCCATACGCGGCCTCTCCTGCTACTGCCCCCAGCTTCGTGGGCTACGGCTACCCGGCTGCCATGCCGCAGGCCCTGTCGGCTGCGGCCCCCGTGGGCACCACCTTCGTACAGTACCAGCCAGCACAGCTGCAGCCTGATAGGCTGCAGTGAGGGCTCCAGGGCCCCCGGGGACATGCTGCGGGCTGAGGAGGACAAGGGCTGTGTGCACAGGTGCACCCTAGCCCCTGTGTCCCTGAGGACCTGGGGCACCTCCTCTGCTTACTGGTGAGCCCGAGAGACTTGCTCCAGCTCTCGGCCCCATAAGGTCTCGAGGGAGGACTTAAGAAAGACTGAAACTATTTAAAGACGCAACCCCAAATTCCCCGCACATGGTACCCTCCTTCCCACACCTCATCCTGTCCCTCACACTCCAGCACCCACAGTGTCCCTGCCACATCCCCCACCGAGGCCACCAGCCTTCCCCAGACCCAAGCCCAGAGGTGCCTTATTTGAGGGAAGCGTAACAGAGAGACTGGCAGACGGCGTGGTGTCACCTGCATAAGCTGTGAGTGTCAGCCAGTGGTGTGCAGGGACACGTTGACGCCTCACTTTCTACACAGTTGTCTGGGGCAGTTCCTTTGACCGCCCAGGAGCCCGAGGGCCACCCCTCTCAGTGAAGCACTGCGCATTTTTTTCTTACCGTTGTTATTTTGCTGTTAAGATGATTTCAGATTTTTGGTCTGTTTTTAGCTGGAGACTCCCCCCACCAAGGATCCAAAACCTATTTTTGTTTTTGAGATTCACTTTGGTTGCTGGCCCCACCCAAGAAGACAGGGACCGGATTTCTGCATGACAGAGTGTCTGCTGGCCAGAGAGCCGGAGCCCCCTGATGGGGTGGGCATCGCGGGGAATATCTCCGTGTGTCCTGGATGTGGGTTGCAGTTGGGTGGCAAAGCCTGCGTCGGTGCCCTGCAGGCAGTCACCGTTTCAGAGGGTCATCACCAGCTGCTTGTCCCCTGGTTACCGGTGCCCACCACGTGGAAGGGCAGAAGGAAGTGGGGCCCTTCTGAATGCTGCCAAGGTCTAGACGGGCTGTCCCCTGGCAGCAGAGGGGGGGACACTCGACCACGGCTGTTGGCTCCAGGTGGCCCCCTCTCTCTTCGTAGCCAGAGCTGTGGTGGGGCTGACACAGGATTGGGGTACAGTGGAGTGGGCAGGCTAGATGTTCTAACACTGGGATGGGGCTCGGGGTATCGGGGGAACTGTGGGCAGCTGGAGGAGGAAGCCTTAGCCCCCGGAGGAGGGGAGAGTGAGGCGAGGGGCCCCTGGCAGGCCCGAGGCTCCCTGTGGGCAGGGCCGGGAGGTTGGGGGAGCTGGGAGTGGTCTTCAGACCTACCTCAAGTGCACAGGAGGCCTCAGGGAGCTGACACGAGCCACGCGCTTTGTGGCGCCTGGCCCAGATCCCGGAAGATGAAGGTAGCTAATATAATATTTTTATTAGAACGTTCTGATTATAAAAATAAAACTTGTTTCCTTAAAACGTGAGTCTGTGAGTTCTCTCTTTGCAGTGCACCTCTGAAGCCCCACCTTCCTCTGGTGATGGGGGCCGTGACCCCCTCAGCTTCAGTCTCTGTCTCCCGGCTGCAGAGCCGGGGCTTCTAACCACAGCTGTTCTCTGAGCCCCTGCCGTGTGCAGCTGGGCTTCTCGAGTGACAGGCAGCTGTGGCCCCCATTGAAGTGAGGGAGGGGTTGGCCCCTCACCCCTCGGTGTCGCCAGGCCTGGGCCTCTGGTCGGCATTGCGTGCCGAACCAGGGCGGTGGCGCTGGGGGTTGCGGGCTTCCGAGGAAGGGCCGCTGGGGCCGAGAGCTTGCTGCCTATCGGCCTTAGCTGCTTATTGAGGGATGTCTGCCCGTGGGATGTCCTGCTTTGCCGGACAGATGTCCCATGTGGAGGGCCAGTGTGGACCCTAACAGACATGATTCTTCCCCTGTCTTGATGGGCTGAGCCCAGCTAGCTAGGAAAGACCTCCAACGCTGTGGAGCACGGTGGGGTGCAGGGACAGACAGGTGTCTGGTGGCTGTCCTCCCCCACCTTGGGTACCCCAATGTGGGGCATCCTCCCTGTACGTTGTGGGTCCTGGGGCCTCCAGCCTTTTCAGTCATTTGGAGACTGGTGGTAGGTCTCCTCTCTGGTCCAGGTCCACTGTGGAGTCAAAGGAAGGGGCAGGAATACCTGCACCCCCCACCCCGGGCCTGCTCTTCTCTGCAGCACCCCTCCCCTGCCACCAGCCCACCGCTGCCCTGGTTCTGAATTTGAAAACACTGAGGAGGGGTCAGGGAGGCAGCAGGGTGGGGGTGGGGTGGTCCCCAGCTCAGGAGACGACCTTTGCCGCAGCTGATAAGTGCAGGGCTGGGAGGGGCCTGTGGGCCCCGGGTTATCGGGCAGGCCACTCGGGGCAGCATGCTTCCTGTTGCTGTCGGGTGGGGCAGCCTCTGGTGCTGGCCTGCAGGAAGGCCTCAGGCCTAAAAACATCCCTGGGGTCCCAGGGCTGAAGGGGTCCCAGGGCAAGAGTGCTGAACCTCGGGGAGCTAGGAGAGAGATTTCCAGAACCCCCCATGGCTCTGAGCAGGTAGGGTGAAGGTCAGGGCTGAAGGCTGGGTCTCAGCATGTGTAAGTGACAGAGGACGGAGTCATGAATGCTGACATCCGGGGCAGCCCATCTGCCAGGCGATGTGCGAATTCTCATTGTCCCTGCTTAGCAGACAGGACGTGGAGGCAGCAAGGAGTGCAGACGTGGTGGGAGGCGACCTGGTCCGGCGCTGAGGCCCGGCTGATGGAGAGCCGCCCATTGCAGAGCCTCAGGTGGGAAGGCGTTATGGTCCCTTGAGGCAGGGACTTTCTGTCCCTTCTCCATTGAGCCGCTAGCAACTGGCACAGTCCTGGCACCAAGCAGGTGTGCAGTGAATGTGGGTGCAGGAGGGAGGCCCGGGGTGGGGTGGGGCTGCCACAGAGCTCTTCCTGTCTGCCTGGGCCCTGCCGGTGAGCCTAGGTCCCACACACACATACACACAACACACACACACACTAACACCAGAAAACCACACCTGTGCTGTTGAGTCGATTCCGAATCATGGCAGGCCCTATGAGAGTGCAACTGCTCCGTGGGGTTTCTCAGGCTGTCAGCTCTATGGGAGCTGGTAGCCAGGCGTTTTCTTCCATGGAGCCACTGGTGGGTTCGAACTGCTGACTTTCCAGTTAGCACCTGAGCACTAACCACTGTGCCCCACTGTGCACTTGGAGCTCTCCTCATTAACACACAGACGCACAAACACACATGCCAGTGCATATAGGCACACGGAGACACTCACGCACATACACATTCACACATTGACACACACATGAACAGAAACATACACACTCCCGTCCACATACACAAACACAGACCCACACACATGCATACAGACACATAAACACAGAGAAACACAGGCAGAAACATCCCCCCATGCACACATGCGGACGATGCATAGATGCACAGGCACACGTGATGGGCACGCACACGGACAGACACGCGTGACCGTGCGTATAGACACACACATTGACACAGACACAGACGCAGATTGGTTCTGGGATGGGACAAGGACAGTCGGTCCTGGGAGTGTTGGGAAGGGAAGGCTGGCTTTCTGTAGCGGAGGCTGAGGTGAGAGCCAGGAAGCCTGGGGCTGCGGGGAGGGGCTTCTCTTGCAGAGGCAGTCTGAATGAAGCCAACCCAGGGAGAGGAGAGCTGAGGCCAAGGGCGGAGAGAGGGCCTTGGGGATGACTTTGAGGCCCTTGATGCAGCTGTGCCTGACGCTGGACCTGGACTTCGCTGCTGCGGGAGCGTATTCCCTCTCTTGCTGAAGTCTCTTCAGTGTTGCTTCCCTGTCCCTGCAACCGAGTCTGCCCATAACCTCAACAGGCCTGTGTCACTTAGGATGAGGGTTACTGACTTAAAACAGAAACCCCAGAAGGCGGTGGTTCGTAACTAGTTACAAGGTTGTTTTTCCTCGTGTAAAATATGTTTGAAGTAGGCAATCCAGCGCTCGGACAAGAGTTCCAACAGTCAGCAGGGACTTGGGTCCTCCTGCCTTCCCACTGCGCCGTTTTCCTGCACGGCTTCCTTCCTTAACACCACCCTATGGACCAGAATGGCGGCAGGGGTCCACCCCCGTGTCCAAGCTTCAGGCAGCAGAAGGCAGATGGGGAATGTGCAGCGGAGTCGTTCCTAGAAGCTGCCCCGGACACTCCTCTCCCGTCTCACCGGCCAGGCCTTAGTGGCGCGGCCACAGCTGCCGGCGGGGGAGGGCGGGGGATGCCGATGTTGGGCTGGCGCATTGCTGCCCAGGACGCGGGAGGCCGCGCTCCTGCCCCGGCCCTTCTGTGGCCATTCACAGGAGCTTTCTGACTGCCGCTGGCTCAGCTCTGTTGTGTCCTCAGCCCTCACTGTGCAGGGACCATCAGCCCATTTCACAGATGAGGAAAGTGAGGCCCAGAGAACTCAGGTGACTTGCCTGAGGCCACCTGGCTCCCTAGAGGCCACCCTGGGAGGCCTGCTCGAGCCCCTGCCTCACGGATGGGTTCGAGATTTGGTGAACAGAGACTGGGGTGGGCCGCTCAGGCCCCAAAGGCTCATGGGTGGAGTACCACTGGGGGTAGGAGTTGTACCCTACGATGTCTGCCTGTGGGGGGCCTGGCCATGCATCAGTGTGCCGAGCACCCCATTTTACAGGTGGTGGGGAGCAGCTTCAGAGAGGTAAGGGGAGATGTGGGAAGAAGTGGTTGACCCACGTCTGTTTGACTGCAAAGCCTATGTCATTGGCTCATGGCTACGTGGCCACCGGGAGCTCTGCTGAATGCCCTAGCCAGGGCTCAGCTCATCCCTGCCTCTCCCAGGCCTCCTTCAGGTGAGCAGACCCCAGCCTGGGCCGCTGCAGGAGAAGCCACAGGGTGCATGGAAAGAGCCAGAAGTTCAGCTGTCTCTGGCCCCGCTGCTCTCTTGACATGACCTGGTGTAGGGTGGTGAACTCGGCGTCCCTGGGTCATGCTTCCATCACTTGTAAACAGGTTAGTGACTCTGGGCCTGCCTCCTGGGACTGTCATGTGAGGCTGAAATCAGATGAATTAGATAAAGTGC